TTGAACATTTATGACTCATATATTACTATATAATTATAATTATATATGTATAATTATTTAATTACAAATTACATTCTATATAATTATAATGGTTAATTTTATAGAAAATCTTAGCCTTGTTGCAGGTGTAGTTTAAGGTAATGAGTTTGGCATGGTGTCATTTTACATGCACTTAGATATGCCCTCTAAGTCACACAAAGTGCCAGGATTCATTTGAACTCTGAGGGAGGAAAAAAAAAAGCATTATAATCTTTTGCTTGTAATCTTTTGCTTGTAGCTGTTTTCCCCATTTCCCTGCAATATACTTTAGCTGAACAAATTCCGGGGTTTCTATCAGGATGTGCATTGGGCTGAATGATGTTTTTCTAAATGCTTTAGTGAGCTTGCTTCATTTTGCCTGAGATGACACTGTCCAAATCAGTATCAGGAAGACAGAACACAGTTGCCAGATGCTCTCCTAGAATAACTTCATTAAGCTCTGCAGAGAACTGCCATGAGATAATATAAGCTGATACCTCTGATTTTATGGCCTTTCAATACTTAAATGGGACTTATAAGAAAGACGGGGATAGGCTTCTCAGTAGGGCCTGTTGCAATAGGACAAGGGGTGATGGTTTTAAACTAAAACAGGGTGGATTTAGACTAGATATAAGGAAGAAAATTTTTAGGATGTGGGTGGTGAAATGCTGGCACAGGTTGCCCAGGGAGGTGGTGGATGTCCCACCCCTGGAAACATTCAAGGTCAGGTTGGACGGGGCTCTGAGCAACCTGGTCTAGCTGAAAATCTCCCTGCTCATGGCAGGGGGGGTTGGACCAGATGACCTTTAGAAGCCCCTTCCAACCCAAACCATTCTATGATTTCCATTCTTGGTTCATGAGATCATTGCACCCATCACTTTACTCTTCTTTCCTAGCCTATATCATCTTCCAATTTCACAGAGTCTTTCATTCAAGAGTAGGTTAGGAACTCACAGGCAGGCAAAGATCACACAATACCTGAAATGGAGCTTCTCCTCACATACAACAGTTGTCTTAATTCAGTGTTTTGTTATCCTCTTACAGAAAGTAATTTCTCATCTCAGTTTGTGTGCGTTTTTAAGATTGTGTACTAATGGTGCTCTCAGAAACTGCCATTGAGGAACCAGTAAGTACCACCTGTGACTGTGGGGTTTGTGATCTGGACACGTGTCCTGAGGTAAATGGGCTGGCAATCCCTGTCCTGTCCAACAGAGTTCTCTCCTTGTGTTATCCTGGGTTGCAGCTTGCAATTTAACTCGGTGGTTGTGCTTTACCATAGCTTTATAAAGTTAGGTTACGCTTTGTCCATAAAAGGGCGATTCCTTACAAAACCACACTGAAAGGTACTTCACAGACACCTAAAATCAAGGTCCCCAGAGAAAGGCTAAGGGTATCCTGGGCTGCATTAGAAAAAGTATTGCCAGCAGGTCGAGGGAGGGGATCCTTCCCCTCTGCTTGGCACTGGTGAGGCCACACCTGGAGTGCTGGGCTCCCCAGTCCAAGAGAAACATAGATGTACTGGAGAGAGTCCAATGAAAGACCATGAGGGTGATGAAGGGACTGGAGTACCTCATGGTTGAGGAGAGGCTGAGAGAGCTGGGACTGTTCAGCCTGGAGAAGAGAAGACTCAGGGGGGATCCCATCAATGTGTATAAATACCTGCAGGGAAGGTACAAAGAAGATGGAGCCAGGCTCTTCTCGGTGGTGCCCAGTGACAGGACCAGAGGCAATGGGCACAAACTGAAACACAGGAGCTTCCCCCGAACATCAGGAATCACTTTTTTCACTCTGAGGTGACTGAGCACTGGCACAGGCTGCCCGGGGAGGTTGTGGAGCCTCCGTCCTTGGGGATATTCAAAAACCGCCTGGACAGGGCCCTGGGCAGCTGGCTCTATGTGGCCCTGCCTGAGCAGGGGGGGTTGGACCAGATGACCTCCAGGTCCCTTCCAACCTCAGCCAGTCTGTGATTCTGTGACCAGTGGAGATTAAACTGCTTTAGAGGAACCGCAGTCCATGAAGTTGGCTGTGACTATTTCCCTAGTATTAGAGATGGACTCCTGTCATGATCAGTGGTTACATCTCATTAATCTTGGTGACTCTATTATCTTAATAAAGCAGTTATATTTCTGTTCTCAAATATAAAATTGGCATGTTCCTCCAATAGTGGCAGTTTACCAACATCAAAAGCAACCTACATAGTCTCTTGGAAAGTGCTAAAACAAGTCCAGGTGATTTTCACAGGGTGCACAGCAGCTTGTACTAAGATAGAAGACCTCATATGCAGTTATAGCAATTGTTTGGGCATACCTGAGGGATTTGCTCTGTGGGCAAGACCTTGCTCTGCATTAAAATTACTCCCCATATCGTCCTTTTATAAAATTTCCCAACAGCTGTTGTGCCTCAGAAGTCATCTGCCACCTATCCCTGCATCGTTGGTGTGTTCCTCCAGGCACCTGGCAGTGGGATTAGTGAAGACCAAACTGCCCAGGGTACCTTCACCTGATGATCAGTTCCTCAGCACAGTTCAAGTCTTCAGGAGCTAGGATTGCTTGGAGACCACAAAAGCATAGACATATAAAATGGATGAAAGGATGTGAATTCATTGGAGTAAACCACATGCTGGGTATCAGGAAACGTGTACTGCCCATAGCTCTATGACAATATAGAACGGTCTCAGAAGTGAAGACCTGAGTGCTGCTGGAGTGGCTGGAGAAGGGCAGGATGGAGAGGGTGGCACAAACATGCCTGTGTCCATCCCATGCGCAAATGAGACCCATAACATTTTGGGACTTTAAACACAAGCCAGTGCCACTGGATTGCAGGCCTGCTGTAAAGGAAGCCCATGCAACAGTTCAGCAATATGGCATGTTTTGCCACTGTAAGAGCCTTTAATAATGTGATTCATAATGATTACCAGACTAATATACTGATGCATTCTTTCCAAATTATAATGTGTTCTGACATTAACATAATGTAGTCATTTATGTGGGAGGGAGGGAGGGAGGAAGGGACTTAATTTCACGTCTTCTGGGGCAAACAATTAAAAATTGCAGAAAGGCCGTGCAAGTAAGGAGAGAGAGTGGCTAAACTACTAATAAGCCTCCTGAGCTGTTCCTGTACCTGCCTTGCTCTTGCTTTCACTTGTGCTGAGGCCCCTCTGTTGTTGCAGCTAGGCAGGTTTTCGGAAGTGCCATGAAGCCACCCACACTGAAAAACTGCAGGCACTAATAATAATCAAAAGAAGACAATTGTGAGGAACAGTAATGCTGCTTGGCCCCTCGCCCAGCCATGGCAAATGCACTGGGCAGCTTGCAAGAGCTCCTTGACTCTGCGTGTGAGGGAAAAGCTGGCGGCGTAAGAGAAAGGCTGGCAGCTGCACCTGCATGGGAGACACAGCGCCCTGTTTGCAGCTTGGAAGTGAATGCAGATATGTAGGGAGTTTCCTTTCCAAAAGGAAATATGAGTCTGGTCAGTGGCCTTGGAAGTCTCTTTCTTCATTGCCTTCCCACTTACATTAACCCATCTTTGCCCAGCATCCTGTTACTCCAGCATTGGCTTTGAAGCTTTGGATTTGTTCACATCTGGGATCCCCAAGTGGGAGATCAAAGAAAAATAGAGATGAGGCAGAGCTGCAAAAGCAAATTAATAATGTTTCAGAGGAAATGAGAACTAAAGAAATCATATACACTGAGTAAGCCAGGCCCACGTTACAGACTGACCTGGTTGGCTAAGATGTCTACTGGAACACACAGGGATGTCAGATTTTGTTTCTCAAGACGATAGGCTTGCCCTGTTGGCTGAATGATGGAACCTACCCCTGGAAACTTAAAAGGCTTGGGGCCACTGTGGTGTATAAGCTGTATGTAAGCACCCAGAATGATACTGGGGCCAAAAAATACTAATCTGTAAAAAAGCAGTAAAGTCAGGCAGGAATAGATGGAATACTTGGCACTTCTTTTGCCAGTGCTGGAATATTGAATCTTGCGTTGCAGTACCAAGAACAGTACTAAAACTGGCTGGTAGTAAAAAACTGGCGCTAAAATTGACTAGTAAATTGGTTAATGCTAATGGATAATTGGATAAAGTTCAGAGATTTTAGAATGATTAAATGATAGGAGACATGACATAGTAAGACACCAAGATCTTCACCTATTTCATATAAAAGACTAAATGAAGGGACAACTTGAATACAGCCTGTAAGTACCGGCAGAGTAATGAAATTTGGAAGACTGCCTCCAATTCAGCAGACAAAGGTTTAACAAGATCCAGTATCTGGAATTTGGAGTTAGGCGTATTCACATCAGCAATAAAAGATACCTTTCTAAGGCAGAGGGCGGGCACCATCTAGAGAACCTACCTCTAGTCATGCTTTGTGGAGGTTTTAAAATCACTGGTAATTTTAATTTTAAAAAAATATTATTTTTTTTTTTAAAGAAAATGCTGTGAAGCCACTGGCCTGTATTACAGACCAGATTCAGTACTCTTATTTCATGGCTTTCTCTGGGTTTCTGGAGCTGAATTCAGATTCCCTTGAAAAAACTCAAGGATTCTGGGACCTGAGTACCTTGTGCTTTAATTGATGCCATTGCTATTACAGTTACACTTTTCTCATCCTTTTGATGCTTTCCCAGAAAACCCATTGCTACAACACCTAACTTCCATTTTTAATGAGCACTGAGGTGTTAGTATTTTATTACTTCCATTTTGAGGGGTTGACTAGGGAGGAACAAAGCAGTTCTGGTTGCAACCAAGTATGAACTTTTTGCTCCAAACTGAGCCAGAACATTGGTCTTTTGGGGAAGCTTGAAGAAGTTCAGTTAACTTCCCACTGCTCCTTTCAGATCCTTCTACTTGCCAAAATGGTTGCTGTTGAACTTGGCAGCAAAAACCCCAAAGCTTTAGAAATCTTGCTGGGCAAAGTGTGGATTTGCTATGTCTGAGGGAATAACACCAGTGAGCTAGTCTGCTTTTTCCTTCTGCAGTGCCTACACGGAGCCCTACAAGGTGTGCCCAGTCTCCGTGATACCGATGGAGGTTGTCACATCAGATGAGGAACAGAAGAGTTCAGAAGACGACGACGAGAGAAGCCTGGGTGATCCCAGCCTCATCAACAAGGTAAAAGAGCTGAAAATGGGGAATGCATGAAACCCGGAGAGGGAGAAACAATTTGCAGAAGAACCTGAATTCTCAACACTCTCTGCTTTTTTCCTGGTGCTCGTTTAGAAATGTCAGAGCCATCGAGCCTTTACTCCCCCAGCACACTAGCAACAATTTACCCATATAGCATGCAGCAAAGCCAAAGAACTGCAGTCCTAAGATGGACAGTGGAGTCAACATAGCCAGCAGGAAAGGCCTGACTTGGATGTCAGGAAGAATGTCTCGGTCAGAAGAAGGATTTAGCTGCAATCTTGAGAATTTTAAAACTACATTGAATAAAACAATGACAAATACGTTACTGGAACCAGTTCTGCACTGGCTGGGAGATAGAGTAAATTATCTAATAGGTCTCTGCCATCTCAAAATTCTCTCATCATGGGAAAATGCACTCGTGTTTGGTTTTATTTTACTGACTCCTGATGAATAAAACAGCTCTTAAACAAATTACAGAGAAGACCATAGATATGTGACCACAGCTTAACACCATACAAGGCTGTTTTAACCTCCAGTAAGCTGACTAACAGTGCAGTTGTTAAAGAAATGGCATCAAGCAGCTTTAGGCATAAATTTAGCTTTGTTTTTCACAGATATTTTGTGTGTGCATGTGTGTTTTTAAAACCTAACATGAGCCTAACAATCTAACATTGTGTCTCTGAGTACAAGCACCCACTGCATAGCCCATTTGGTATGCATGCAATAAATAGGTATGTTCTTCTGAAGCCTTCCAGTTTGAGCCCCAGGAACTAAGGCTGCATAGGAAAATAGCAAGTCCCAACTTCCTACACCTCTCTCTGCCATTCCTTTTGGCCTGGTCTCTCAGTGTCAGCACAGCTATGTGGCTTTCTGATTGTAGATGGCTTGTGTCTGGTCACGGGCATGTGTCAGAGCCTGCGAAAGTCTGTGCAGATGCCCCTCCAAAACCAAATGATGGCTGAGTAAGAGTCGACAGAGGAGAAGTATAAGTGTATTGATTCTAGGAAGATCAGATCTCTTCAGGCATTTCCAGAATGTGAAGCTTTGTTTAGGGGCAGGTGTAGAGAGAATGGGGAGCAGAATTTTCCCCTTACCAGGACACTGGTTCTTGACAAACAGAAAAAGAGACCGCAACCAGAGAGACAGTGACGGGCAAATGAAACTGCTGTTGCTCTGACCTCTGAGGGAGAACAGCTTCCTGTGCTTTCCCTGTATGCTGTATCACTTCCAGGCCCACCCTGCAGGAGTAGGGCAGCTGAGCTGCCTTTGGTACCAGTGGAAAAGACTGCGGTTTGATCTCCTTGCTGACACGAAACAAACGAATCAGTTGCAAGCAAAGTTATCTTTTTTCCTCGGAGATTTTTTCCTCCTCTGGGAAACTTAGTTTAAATAAAGTCATGGAACAGCCTAGATAAAATCTCCTCCCTGTGTTCAGATACATGATTTTCATTTGCATTGAGCTGGATTCTACCTGCTGGCTTTCAGTCATGGCTGAATTCCTGTACCAAAATGCAAGCAGCATGCTTTGGCTTTTCTCACCTGCTTTCTCCTAGTCTGCTTGCTGAAGAATCGCACGACTTCCAGTTTGCAGCAGAATTTTTTCCTCTGATGTTTCTTTTTAAGGCTCATTTTTATAAATAAATGTAATTTAAAAAATTAGCTTTGTACACACATTTCCTGGTATTGTTTCAACAGCTTGTCTCCTTTGAATCCCTGCTCTCCTGGTGACCAGATTCACACGAGTGCTGAGAAATTTTTAGGGCCTGCTGGAACCCCTGTTCTGTAAACAATTTGAATCATAGCCAATAATATGTGTCGAGGTATTTTTTACATTATATCAGCTTTATTTTAAAGAGCAAAGAAAGAGGGGCTTTCACCTTTACTGTGTTACAGACGTTTTTATTGCTAAAAACCTATTTGGAGCGGGGCAGGTATAAAAATGTAAAACAGGAGGTAGGTTTCAAACTGTCGCCTTCATTCCACTGGGAGTACCTCAGACCCCGAGAAGCTAAGCATTTGTAATCAGGAGTCACCTGGTGGTTTTGATTCTTCTGTGTAAGACTAACAGTGAAAATTCATTCTTTCTGCTTAAATAAGCACTTTATTTCCTTCTCTTCAGTCCACTGGCATATGATAACAACCTAGAGAACTCAGAGGCAGGTAATGCTGTAAGCTTTCTTAACCTTTGTGATTCTACTTGGTTATATTATAAAAAGTGATGCCCTTCACTTGCTACTGATGGAGATTCACTCTTTTTTTTCCTCCTGCTAAGCTAATTTAGAAGAGCTCCTGGGCCATCTCTCACTCATGTGTCTTTTATATGTGTTCATCTAATTAAATCCCTCCCAATTTATCAGAAGGTGACACATGGCTTTTCTGCACTGGGCTCTCAAGGTTATGTGATGGCATCTGAGCTGCCTACAGAAAAAAAAAAAGGAATTAGGGATTCCAGTTAGGAACAAAAAACTTGTATCAAATAAAATAAGGACTTTCTCTTTATCTCCTACCTCTGAACCTTCACTTGCTAGACAAATGCTGAAAGTCCAGGACGTAGAATTCCAGATTTTTCCTCTCATCATTGAGCTTGATTCAAACATGAACTTTGTGATTGTTTTTTACTGCTAAAAACACATAAATCCATCTTGGACCCACCCAGCTAACGAGCATTAAAGGAATTAAAGGGGAAATGAGCTTAATAGTTCAGGTTTGACTAGACACCAACTTCAAACTGAGTTCCCTTTGGCAGAACTTAGTCTTTGTAGCATTCTCAGAATTTCCAATTTTAAAAAGATCAGAACTAGAGACAATATAATCTTGAAAGTCTACTTTTGAGAAGCTCGGCTCCATGGTTTGAAATGGACTAAAATCAACACATGCTGGTAGGTTTCACCTGTTGCTCATTATGATCTGAATTTTTTAATTGCCTCAAGTAGTTTGAGGAAGATGCTGCATATGCTGGATCATCAGCTACCCCTCCATAGCTTGCGCCTCTCCTTTTAGTGTCAGAATCTTCAAGCGAGAGTCTTCAGACAGTTCCTTTCTTGTAGATACTTTTTAAGACTGGATCTTCTGGCCAGTTGGTGCTTTTTGTCACTAACCTCCTACAGCCTCCAGTTGTTACGGAACTGAAGGGAGCCCCAAAGACAAATCTTTTACCACACACAGCCCTCCATATGGCTGAAGATAAGGACCCAGCAGGGAGGAGTGATTTTTATGCTGGATCCAGAAAAGAAAAAAAACGTGATGCAAATTAGAGATCAAACTTGCAGGCAGGGCAGAAAGCTAGGTGCTACCCTTTAGGTTCATTGTGGGAACATCAAGCCTTTCAAGGGATGCACTGAGATGATAGTATCAGGAATGCATCTGCTTTCCTACCACTACATTAACAGCTCTGCTCTGGAAAGTAGGTTAGGCTTGGGGAAGGGCAAACTCCTGTGGGACAAACCACAGCAGGGAGATGCAGCAGAGGCCCCATGGGGGTGTGAAAATTTTCTGAAGAAATACACAGCGATGAAGCACAGGCTTTGGGTTCTGTGGGGATGGGTAAGGGACAGGAACCCATCCACCAATTTAAGAATTCACTTTTCCAGCATCTTGCAGAGAGCCATGCAGACGGTTTTGTAACAACACTGTAAAACGTGTTGTCTTGGACCGGGCTTCAAGAGCTACTTCCATCACGCTGCTTGATCCAGACTGTGTCACACACATGCTAAAGGTATGCTGGTCAAGCAAAGTAACAGGCTTAAAAATAACCCCAATAGTCAATGGAAGGCATTTAGACTGCGATCAGTTGCACAATTTGCACCATGGTGATAAGAGGCTGAGTCTTAGAGCCACAGAATCATAGAATTGTTTAGGTTGGAAAAGACCTTTAAGATCAAGTCCAACCGTTACCCTAACCCTACCATCCCACTTTCCTTTACAGGGTGCCTTTGGAAGGAGAAAGCAGTGGCTGGGTAAATGGGGTGCTAGGAATATTGTAGCAACATCAGCTAGTTTAAGAATGCTGTTATAGTTAGGAATGACATATAGCAAACCCTACGTTAAGCCACTAGGTAAAGGAACAATTAAAAGTGCTCTCTTAAGCCTACCTGTAAACACAGGAGGGAGTTTGATCTGAAGAACTGAAGAGACTTTCAGAAGAATAGTAAGAAAAGAATGTGATTAGTCTGTATAATTATATATGTCTTTTTATGTGTATATATATATATATATAAAAACATATCTGTAAGAATTACAGTCTATAAAGGACTCAGGAAATAAATTAATACAAATCTAGGACAAGTAATAAAGCCATAGCTGGAACATAAAGACATTTCTTTCATCCAGAACACAGATCTGCCTGCCAGTTAACTTTATGGGAAATCTAAAAGTAAACCAATCTGTATACAAATACTGTCGAGTTTAGTCAAAAACCAGCAATATGTTACAAGGAACTGTATACAGCTAGCATCCGAGAGATGTGATCTCACCCTGGTGGCAAAATGTGAAAGCCTGTAGCAAGGTGAATAGCATGTAACCAGAGCAAAATGGTATAAAGGGAATTGAGACCAGATGTGGCTGGATTTTATGCCACTGAAAACCCAAAGCATTCTGGGTAGTCCTTTAGGACTTCAGGTTTAATATTTCTAATCCTAGCCAGACTGGAGGTGTGTTCATTACCATCAGTGGTGTGCTGGGTGGCGGGGCATGAAGGGGAACTTCAAACAGAAACAATCCCGATTGCTGTACTCGTGAGAAGGCAGCACGGGGGGCACGATGCTCCACCCTTCTCCCAAGTATCACAGTAAAAGGCAGTGGATGAAAAGGGGGGCAACAACCCATTATGGCAGATGGAGGGGACCTGCGCCCTGCACAAACAGGGAACGCTGAGCTTAGCCACAAAGTCTCACAACAAGCAGGGCAGCTCCTGTCTCATGGCAGCAGTACATAAAACTGCCTTTGCTGCTCCTTATCCATTTCCACTGGGTGGGCTTGGTTTCCAGACTCCATTAATCATTCTGTTTTGCAAACCTTTAACCTTCACATATTAAAACACACACACACACAAAACTGAAACGTGCTGGAGTTGGGAATGACAGATTTGTGTGCCTTGAGGAAGCACCTAATTCAGACGCCTTTCAAGGGACAGCTCTTGATTTATATAATTACACAGATTCCCCAGGAGAGCTGCAATCTAGCTCTTCAAGGATGGAGCCTGGGAGACAGGATATGGGGACTGCTTTTCCTTCTCTCTCACTGATTCACAGAGCCAGCCTGAAAAAGTCACTTGTTCTTGTAACGCCTCAGCTTACTGTTGGCACCACTGTGACATCACTGTGAACTGCTACATAGTTCATAATAATTACAAAAGGGGCATTATGAAGTCACTCAGCTCTGAGGCTGAAGCTTGCAAACTGCTGTCAGCCTCTTGACTGTGACAGTAGCACCCTTGTGCTGGGTACCCATCCAACTACAGTGCACCTACCCTGAGGAGTCTGTGAAATAAGACACACACGCAGGAAAATGCACAGAGAGATGCAGTTTGTCCATGTCAGAATGGCAGGCTGGTGGCACGTGCAAGAATGGAGCTGCTGCTTCTGTGTCTTGACTAGCTACCTTGCCTGTGAAATGCAAAGGGTTACTCCCCAACTACTCCAGATGAGTGGCTTGCACAGTACTAATGTTCTGTGATCTACCTGTGCTGCTCTGAGGCCATGCAACCCCATTCCAGCCCCATGGAGGCAGACTCACCCCCAGTCCCACAATTATTTAAGCTGGATCAGAAGACCAATCTGGTTCTGCTCAAGGTCCTGCCAACAGCTAGGTCAGCACAACTGTTCACTACTTGCCCCTTCTCAGCCCCAATGTTTGTTCTATCAGAAGGCACAGAAGGGACATGAAACCTAAAGTTTCTCAGTTTGAACTACCTAAGACTTGTACTTAACTTCCACTGTGCTCACACATGTGCTCTGTAAAGAGCTGCAGGCTTTTACATCTTTGTTGTTCTAAACAAAAGCTTTCTAGCGGTTGTGTGCTTCATTATACATTGAGAAATATGGGCTGTTGGAGAAGGAGAAACTCTGAGCAAGTTGCAAGTCATCTCTAGGTGCTAATTCTCCATCAGTAAACTTGGTATCCATTTGGAGGAGGGCTGTAGGGCTTAGATTGTTAACCAATGGAGAGATGGCTGCACAGTATCACCTTTGCTTTGCCATTTATGCCGATCAGCTGAGCTGTGGCAACTGTACAAGCTCCTAACCTGGCTAAAGTGCTTTTGTGTTCGTGACCTTCCTGGCACCAGCATGTTTTTCAGAGTGGAGAGAATGGGGAGATATTTCAGTTATATATTGCAATTTTATATTGTATATTGCAAGTGTTTTATTAAGCATTTTGTTTTGGGGAGGGTGGGGTGATGAGGCTATGAGACTAGCAGACTCAGTGAAGCAGAAAGCTGAGGGTCCCCACACAGCTGCATGGCCTCCATCTGCTAAGCAGAGGCACGCAGTGAGGCCTGGAGTGCAGCTTCTGAAGTGGGAACTGGGAAGGAACCATACTACAGGGCTGGCCACAGGACTGGCTGCAGGGAGTAAAGATTACTAAAAAGGTGGCAGCTTGGCAGTGTTCTAATAACCACTCGGACTTTGTTTCAGTTGATGGTTGAGGGACCTGCACCCCCTCTATCCCCGATTCCCAGAAGTCTGTCTCCGGAAATTGTCGTCAATCTCAGAGTTCATTTCCTGGTTAAACAAACAGCAATTAAATAACACAAGACAGGCAACGCCTAGAGACACTGTCTCAAACTCGCCCTAGACAGGCCATGTGACACTGGGGTCCCTGTGTTTTGTCTCTTGGCTAAAACATATTAATCATAAGGGAATTACAGAGTGCGACAGTATGTGTATGCAAAGGGAAAGTGGGCCTGGCCTGCTGGGGAAATGCACTCTGCTTCCTGGCACTGTGGACCCAGGCTTGTCCACAGAGGACATGCTGGGCAGCCAGCATTGGGGCAGGTGACCCAGACAGAAACACACCCCTCTACGCCCCTGTAGAGACAATGAGAGAGAACAGAAAACTCGCAGTGCCTCTAATGTGTTCCTACAGCAGCTGGGACAGCCAGGAGAGGCACATCATGATCTTCAAGAGGTGGTTCACAAAGTGGAACCAGGGAGAAAGGGGCAATCAGATACTTGCTCCCAGCAGGAAAGTGAAACTAAGGAAAAAATGTAAGATCTTTCTAGTGCACTCTATTAAACTGTAGTGTAGTTCTCCAAAAGTAAGTGATTCAAAGCATGCTCTTTGGCACCCATCAGCTAAAAGGAACAAAGCACTAGGGGACAGTCTACCCTCAGACTCCTAGTGCTAGAGGGATGGATTAGACATCTGAGCCTGATGACTAGTTCACTCTGTATTTCTTTTGGCTCTTGGAATCTTCAACTGCCTCCCAGTAAAAGTACACAGAAATAAACTAAAGACAAAAAAAAAGTCAGTCTGACACTGTCCATTTTCTATACATGAAGCCTCATTCATTTAATCATCTTCATCAGGACTTTTTCACTCATATTCACTATCAATAAGACTGTAATCCTCCTTACGGTCCATCACCGCCCAGGTGAAAACTCAGAGCAGCGAGGCATCTCTAGTATGCCCCTAGAAACAGAAGTCTTTCCTTTGCTCGTATGTGCGGTCAGTACTGACATCTACTTGCAACAGGCTTTGACTGACCCGTGGTTCCTCTGAAGTAGGCAGTGGTGAATCCACTTGTTGGTGATTGAATTCCTTGCTTTTGTAATGAATACCTAAAGTAATTAAAACCAGAAGAATCTTAAAAATATAACTTCTGTTCCGTCACATACAAGTGTCCACATGACTGAATTTCGGCTTCAGGGAATGTTTCATTCTTTCCTACACTGTTTGCAGCCGGCAGAATGAAACAGAAATGTTGGGGGGTGAAGAAAATCCTGAAATCCACAAGCTGATCTCTCTATAGATACAAAAAGTGGCAGATGGTTCACTGTGATGATGGAATGGGACTTTGAGCAACTCAGATACTTCTATCGTGTGCCAGAACACCTGCAGTGCAAGGGAATGCTAATGAGGAGGAGGGATAGAGAGTAAAAAGTCTATAATGCACTTAGCTTGAACTGGCTTAGACATTTTTTACTGCTGTGTAAATCCTGACTCTGTATCTGATTTATGAAGTGTGATTTGGGAATTCAGTATTTGTGGGAAGCTGAATTTGGGTTTGGGGTCCTATCAATGCTTTTTATGGGGGTCCCCAACAAAGCTTCATGTCCCCTGACCCCTAGAAGCCCCCTCATGCAGACTCTGTGGAGGAAATACAACCACAAACTTCCCACCTGACTGTTACACCAAGGGACTGCATCATATCTCAGCAAGTCCTGGTCTCCCCGGAGTAGGCTTTCAGAAGCGGGATCTGTAAGCAGTGGGTTTCCAGCATACCTGGTCTGGTGAAAAATGTTGCTAAGTCTTGCTGCTGAACTCATTTCCCGAGTCTGCTTTAGGTCACTGAGGGCTGCTTTTCTTTACTACTACTGAACTACTATTTTAGTTCCCTACTTCACCACTGCTCAGTAAGTCAAACTGTTCCCAGTAGATTCCTTTCAGTAAATATTTCAGTGCATTGGTTGTTTCTTACCATAAGGATGAATCATGAAATAGGAGCAAAATACGCTAATTAGCCACTTGCAGCTCAGAGCCATACACCTTGCTTCTTTCACAGTTTTCTGTGTCTTCTGAGATGCCTACCAGTTAAGTCAGATGCCACTGAAATTTCTAACAACGTTGTCTGCTGGATACTGAACCGTTTGCTTTCTGGAGATATTTATGGCCATTTAGCTTAGATATTTTGTTTGGCATGCAATAAAGCCCTTTGCCCCCTTTGCTTCCACAGGTCTCACTGCAGTCAGGACAGTTTGGAATATGACCACTGTGGTAAAGAACTCCCTTTTCTGTGTAATTAAGGCTACTAAACACATGGTATGAGCCCCAACAACCATGAAACTAGCCTACTCAAAGCTAAGCACTTTCTGCTTCTCTGACCAATTTTGGACCTGTAAAAAACCAACAGAAAATTTCTCTACTTCTTCAATAGGAACACATTTTTCAAACTTGGCATCTGCCTTAGCAGCTATTATATTGTACTATATTACAAGTATTTGAATTGCAGAAACACTCTGTCATGGAACGGACTCCAGGATGCCAGGCACTGAACAACAAAGAATAAAAGCCTGGTCACTATTTTTACTGAAGGAATATGGCAGTTCAAAGTGCTCTCTAACACTGCTTTAATTCTTGGAATGAGACGTCTCTTAATTGTCCCTGGTTTTTGCTGTTGACAGAAAAAAGGCCAGTCCAGAGCTTACCTCATTGCCCAGGAGCTGATGTCTTCAGAAAAAGTGTAAGTTCATCGTTATAACCTATCTGTTGCTCTCCTAAAACTGAAGCTACTCAATCCACCCTTCAGCATTGTTTTGATGGCAATTAATAAAAGGTTGTCTCTTTCCCCAGATATGTGGAGATGCTCCAGCTGTTACGTATGGTAAGTAAATAATTTTAATCACTGAAACCTAATTGCCCTTTGTCATGGTTTAACCCCTGCTGGCAACTAAGCATCACACAGCCTCTCACTCACTCCCCCCACAGTGGGACAGGGGAGAGAATCTGAAGGGTAAAAGTGAGAAAGCTCGTGGGTTGAGCTAAAGGCAGTTTAATAGGGAAAGCAAAAGCCGCACGTGCAAGCAAAGCAAAGCAAAGCAAGGAATTCATTCTCTCCTTCCCATGGCAGGCAGGTGCTCAGCCCTCTCCAGGAAAGCAGGGGTCCACCCCGTGTAATGGTGACCTGGGAAGACAAACACTGTCGCTCCCAACGTCCCCCCTTCCTTCTCCTTCCCCCAGCTTATATACTGAGCATGTTGTCATATGGTCTGGAATATCCATGGGGTCAGCTGGGGTCAGCTGTCCTGGCTGTGTCCCCTCCCAGCTTCTTGTGCCCCTGGCAGAGCTGAGAGCTGAGAAGTCCTTGACTAGTCTTAGCACTACTTAGCAACAACTAAAGCATCAACGTTATCAACATTCTTCTAGTACTGAATCCAAACCACAGCACTATGCCAGCTACTAGGAAGAAAATTAACTCTGTCCCAGCCGAAAGCAGCACACCCTTTTACTTAGCTGCAATTTAGAAGACAGAAAAGCATTGAAGGGATTGAGGTGAATTTGAGGAGGCATGGCTTACTGTGAACCATTGCAAAGGAGTATGTCTGCCATTAATCTGCTTTTGCTACAGACCCTCAGATCTAGCATTTGTCATTCACAGCAAAGAGTGTTGGCCAACAGTGCTTGCTGGGGCTGTGAGACCGGTGTAAGATGCAGAATAAGCCTCATGCAAAGAAGGAGATGGTGATAAACAGGGGTGAGCCCTCTCTTCAGAGAGAGGCAGATAGGAGCAGAGCTATGAAGCATGGGGATTTGGTTTGAATGGATTCACTCTGCTTCCTTTTAAGCTTCTTTTTTCAGATAATGCAATATCAGCAATATCCAGCGCGTGGCCTGGAAATCCACACTGTGACACAGGTAGTTACCACCGGCAAAATACAGACTCTGGTGTCAGAAACTCATGAGGGAACACACACAGAGAATCACTTCTAGTGCCTAACAGAGAGCTCTTGCATGGGATAAACCCACTGGTGGCTTGTCCCAGAAGACTTTTGTGTCTCTGACAGAGCTGCCACTGCTTCCCTGGAGACTGGTACACATCTTAGGTCGCCTCGCTCTCAACATCTTTCTTGGCTGTTAGTTGCAAGGCAGTAGGGAGTAATAGCCACCAAAGCATGCCCACTGCTGCTTGGAAAGACGCTTCCTGAGAAGGCAAAAAGTAGCCCCAGGTTCGTCCTTGGAGGACACCCCAAACCCTAGCAGTGGACAGGAACTCTGATGGGAGAGAGGAGAGTAATGAGGCCAGCATTGCATTGCTGCCTGCTCATTGTGCCTTTCAAGCAAGCTGCCAGAGCTTCAGAGCCTTCTCAGGCTTGGGCAGCAGAGGCAGGAGAGCAGCTTTAAATGTGACAAATGCCTTGCAGACAATCGCATTTCAACAAATCAAAACCCACCAAGCTGGTCAGCTGGGAACCAAACACTTTAAGGGACTTAGATGCTTAGCTTGAGTCTACCAATATTTTGATAAACTGGTGATAATGTGCTTAGTCATTTGCCTCATCTGTCCTGGCTTTCCTCTGATTTCTGCACAGCCAAACACGTTATTTGACACTAGTTGAGACATAGTTGTAGTTACCCATTGTCCCCTGGGGAAGCCAGGGTGGTTTCTTCACCTGTGGACTACAGGGCTTCTGATCACTAAGAATACCCACAGAATTCCTTACTAAAATTAAGATTTCCAAAAGTAATATCAAGAAAAAAAAAAGGAAAAACCTCTGCCAGCTTCTAAATCAAAATAGAAGAGAAGCATACACACAGGAAATTACCATGCACAGAGAGTATTAGCCACTCTGCCTCTTCATTAGATGCATCCAATTAAAACATTTTAAATGTATTTAATTTTCCATTTCCAAGTACTTTGGTACATTATGGACAGCACACAAATGCAGGGCTGAACTAGAGTGCATGTACAGTGCACTGTATTTTTAGTCAAGGTGTCTAGGGGAGGCCTCTCCTTTGCATTATATCCTAGCATTTTCCATATACCTCTAGGAGATGAAAGTGGTTCACTAACATGGCCTGAAAAATCTTCAATATATAGATGCAAATCTTGCAATGCACTTCAGTGCCTTTAGCCACAACATGAATGGCTGCACACCCTCATGGCTGCTATAGCAGCATGTTACTGTCAGGCTGCCTTGCCCATGCTGTTGCTGGGCCAGGAAAGGGATGCTTCAGGACTTTCTCAGTCTCTTCAGGACTTACTTTGCCCTTTTCTCCTTCCTCTGGTAAATCCCTGTGCGGTGAATTTGGCTTTGAGGCTATGTGTGTAAACGAGTCATTTATGCATTTTCACAATAATCCTATTTTCTGCCAGTAGAAATAATTTGGAAGGAACAGGAAATGTCATTTTTGCTCTCTTTTCTAAGTTGACAACATTAACATGGGACAGGGATTCTGGTTTATACCTTAGCTAAAATATTTTAGTTTAGAAACAGTTAGGGATGCAAGTGCATGCTGCTCCCCTGCAGCTGGATGGACTCCAAACTGTTGGTAATTCCTAATAAAAAGGATCTACATAAAAATTATAGCTCATAGGTTAGTTAGCGAAAAAAATCTACTTGATTGCTAATTTTATCTGCTGCTGTGCTCCAGAGTTGGCTTGAAGATATGAGGGGATGAAAACAAGAGTTTTCCTGGCTTGCCTCAAAAATCTAACTGCTCCTCTCTCTCCTGTTGGGAACTGAGACATTTTCTAAGCAGAATAGTTTATTACAGAAAATAAGTAACATTACCTGGCCTGCCAGTCCTGGAATTAAGGTTTTATGAGGGAAATTGATGCTGTTTTAATCATACTTAATCATTAGGTTTGGATCAGCTGGTTAATTTGTCAGGGAAAAGATACCGGTAATAGCACTCCTATGACTGGGCAAGTTCTTCTATTTCTATCAGTCATCAGTTTTAATTGGAAGCACTTGTTTGGTTTTTACATATGTTTCAGTCCTGTAATGGAATATTCCACTGAATGCTGTTTTGCTGGGATTTTGTTTCCCTGCCTGTCCATCCCACTGGAGTAGAGGGATCTTATGAGTGGTTTGCATATGCTTGTTATTTCCTTAATTATGAAAGTTAGAGCACCAAAAGAGGAGTTAAAATTTCAAATTAAAATAAGAGATGGGCCTAAAGTAAACCTGTGAATGAATGCATTGCTTTGCAAAGTTAGGCCACTTATCAGTCGTGAAATGTCAGAATCACTGTAACCATGCACTCTTCACTTCCCCAGTCCCAGTTCCGGTTGCCTCAAGTTAGAAAGTTCAGAAAGATCTGCATCAATTTTATGGCAAGATTTTGGGTGCACAATTTTGATAAATGATTTTCTTCTGCAGTGGAAAAGTATCCTTCTTGCCCTATCACCAAATGCATATACTTCTTTAGGGGCTTCTGGAGGCTTTCTTCAGCAGAGTCAACAAGCAAGTTTCTCAAATAAGATCTGTTTCTATGAGCTGGCTTTCTAAGTAGTGCGGATGCATGAATGGCATCTGGTTTAGAAACTGAGGGAGAAGAGAGGAACAACCAGTCTGTTTTCACACTTGACTGCTAGTTCAGGCACTACTTTGTTTAGAAGAGATCAAAAATCTTTATGGGAACAGGATTAGAGGGTTCATTTCTGTGTTTTATGGGGTGCCTATAGCCCTGGCATACCCCATCTCTACTGCTATAGGCTGATGTCTGCATGATAGCTACCTACTGCAGTGGCATTCAGAAATAATCTGCAGGTTTCTCTGTTGCAATCATGTTAAATCTAGAAAGCCACAGTCCCAGCACTGTTACCTTTCCCACCCCAGCTACTGTTGGATCTTTATATTCACCTGTTCTCCAGTGTATTGTTCCGGAAATCTAGGGAAACCATTACTAATTTTACAACATGTAAGTCCCTCAGACTAGAGGGGTATTATTGCCTAACTGAGGCTTTTCAATACTGTCACAGCACAAAAAGTTACAATGAACTTATCACTCCTTTTTGCATATTTGAATAGAGTTAGGAATAGTCACATCAGTAAAAAATTGTGCTTCACTTGTTACTGACACAGGTCCTACTGGCAGATGTCACAAGCAACCACCAGTGACCAAACTGCCCTCAAGGTGCAACACCCCATTCATGGCCAGTTAGGACCAAAGGCTTCCTTGACAGCGTATCTCAGCTCAGGCACACATCTCTCTCTGTTCCCCATCACCAGCTTTGTCAAGAAAATGGTTTCTAAATGCTCATCTTCGAGTCTCATCTTCTTATATAAACCCACATGTTGGTAAGAAAGGAAAGGAACTAAACCACACCCTAGCCACTTTCAGAAAGGAAAAAAAAGGCTTTTCTTAAGCCTGCAGCAGGAGCAGTTTCCCATCTCATTTCCAGGCTTGGCTGGAGCTGCTATTCATTCAGCATAACAGAATCTGTTTGGCCTTTCAGCAGAGACTTTAATAAATTGATTGATTGCCAAAATGATGACATTTCCATACACCCACTCTGCTATTGAACTGAAAGAGTGGAAACATTGTGTTAGCTCACAAACTCAGTATCAGTTGGTGTGGTAGTAGTGATAATAATCTAAAGGGCTAGCTGTTATTTGCCCTACTCAAAGGTAATGCAGTTCCCTTGGAGCAGAGAGTTAAGAACTCATTCTGGACTGAGCAGATGGGACTGGCAGGGCCTTGCAGGCCGAGTCCCTGATCTCTTGGTACTCACAACTTAGTTTTCCAAAGTTGATTAGTCTTTGCATTTCCTTCAGGATCATTTAATCCTCAAACTTTGTCATTCTTTTCTCCTATTTTTCTTCCCCAGTAATTCAGGCAGCACTTGCCATCTTTTTCTTAGTGCTTGCTCCTGAACAA